TCCATCCTTGAAATGCCGAACGTGCCCCAACCACCTAGAAAACGCATTAAAAATTCAAATCCAAATTTGGATTCAAATGCTTTCGGAGCAGGCGCCCATAACTAGAGATGAGTATATATTCATTCCCGAACTTATTCATCTTTCGTTCAGCTAACAAATTCGGTTTTTTATTGAGCGAACGAGCATAAGAATTTATACCCTTTCAAAAATGCCTCACGATAAAATGGGTATTATGAATTTTAATATATTTGGGATCTTAGCACTGCGAGGTTAGTCGATCTTGACATAGACAGATAGACGACTGGTCTGTACGTTAATGTATCCAACTATACATCTGTATAAACAGCTTGATCTTAAAAATTAAAAATTTGATAAATATATTGTTGATCATACTCAGAATTATATTAATAGCAATAAATAAAGTATAGATTCTACACAAAGCTCATAATAGTAAGCGTATATGGAACAAATTTTATAATAATACAAATACTTTGTACAAAGGCATATAAGTATCATATAAATGTCTGTATGTCAGTATGTGTGTGTGTGTGTATGTATGGGCGAGTGTGTGTTAGTGTATGCATATATATTTATGTATGCTTATTTGTTTTTGAATGCCAAACGCGGAACAAGCTTATTTGTCGCTGTGCTGCAAATTTAAATATGACGAATTTCTACCAAGTGTCCTTCTCCTCGATTCTCAAGAATTCAAGTAGGCTCTGAAGTTTTTCATGATTAGCTCGCAGTGAAGTGATTTTTTTATTTATTTTTTTTTTTTTGGTATTTTTTTTGTATTTATTTATTGTGTGTTTTTTTCTGTATGTATGTATGTATGTATGTATGTATGTATGTATGTATGTATGTATGTATGTATGTATGTATGTATGTATATATGTATGTATGTATATATGTATGTATGTATATATGTATGTATGTATATATGTATGTATGTATGTATGTATGTATGTATGTATGTATATATGTATGTATGTATATATGTATGTATGTATGTATGTATGTATGTATGTATGTATGTATGTATGTATGTGTGTATGTATGTGTGTATGTATGTATGTATATATGTATGTATGTATGTATGTATGTATGTGTGTATGTATGTATGTATATATGTATGTATGTATGTATGTATGTATGTATGTATGTATGTATGTATGTGTGTATGTATGTATGTATGTATGTATGTATGTATGTATGTATGTATGTATGAATGTATGTATGTATGTATGTATGTATGTATATATTTTCCACCAAGAAGGAATGCATTTTCGAGAAGTGTGAAACGGTCCTCAAATGAATTTGAGGAATTATAATTTTGAGGCCGATCGGATGGTAAGGAAAGAAGTTTCATTTTTATCACAAATATCTCCAAGTTTTGAAAACTTATAGACATCTTACAGCGCTGAAAGGCTGAAAGAAGTTATTTAGAAGAGAGTTTTTAATTGTGTAGGGCACAAGAAAAAAAGAAGCGCTACAGAAAGTATGTGTTACAACAGCTTTTAGTTACGTACAGGGCATATCCCAGTCGTCTACTCTCAAGAAGAGCGCTTTAATTTGATTCATTTATTTTTTCTTGCTATGTCTGCTTCTTTTCCATAATCCGTTTGTGCGTTGAGGCAAATTATTGTGTAGGACTTTGGGATTTGCAGTTAATACAAGCAGCAGCAGCAGCAGGCGACGGCAGACGAGATTTATGTTAAGTGGGCAGACATTGGAGCTAGTCGGGCATCTGGCGGCACTTACTATTCCCTGCTCCTTGCTTATTCCTTACTCTTAGCCCCCAGCCACAGCCCCTTCTGGCTGGCAACTTGCAATAAAAATGTCGTTGCGCCATAAAAATCGAATTGTATCCCATTTTTCTATTTTATTTTTCTGTTGCGCCCGACAGTTGCAGCTGCGCTCAGCTGTAAAGCGTTAGCCCAGTATTTCCCTCCCGAGTGAACCCCTTCGATCTGGAAAAAGTTGCTAGACAAAACTCTTTAACTAAACTGAATAAGCAGTCGGCTTAATGTGGACCAGAACAAGGTATAGACTGCGTTTATGAGACCCAACAGCTGCACAGGACTTGGCACTTCTTTGCAAACACACGTGCCCCTCCCACACACACACGCACACGCACGCACATACTGGCAGCCAAATCTAATCAAATGGCGCAAATTGCCGGATTTGGTTTAACTGACAGAGCGCAGATTTATTTTCATATCCAACATTTGCTCCCACAAGCGACACGACAGTTCCCGAGCAGACTCAGATAAAGTCAGCTAAGCCCCCGGTATACCGCCTGCTCGACTACACCCGCCCAGCCATCTTATCATCAAGCTTCTATTGCTATTTGTTCCTTTGTCGCACGCCTAAATGCATCCAACGCCGAAAAGCAAATGCAAAACTTCTTGAACTTTGGCCCCGCATATGGTTATCATTTGAGAACTTTTGCTTAAACAGCTTTCAGATAGCCCGTCTGCTATATGTTAAGAGCAATTTATTTTTTTTATTTTTTTTGTTTATTTCTCCTTTATTTTAAATGCCAACAAATTTTATGGCTGAAGTTTTCGAACAGAAACTTGAAACCAAAACTACTTGGTCGCAGTTAATACGTTGATTCGCTGTTCTTAGCTTAGCTGCTGCCTTGCTACACTATCCTACAAAACGTGCATAGTTGGCAAAGTGTCGCTATAAATACTTTGACTTTTACCAACTCAAAGAAGAGGCAGAAGCAAGTTGCTTGAACTAAAACTTCTTTTAAACTGACTTTTTACAGATTTGTTATTGAATGGGAATTTCTCTTAAAGTTTCAATTCGAGGCATTTTTATCGAAAAGTAGTTCAATAAGATTGGTTCTCCTTTTTCCTTCTTATAGCTCTCAATTGGTTTTATATGAATGTATGTGGTAATTTTTGCACATTTATATGTGTGTGTATCTGCATTTAAATGTAGGAATGTAGACTTGGTAATATATATGTATGTATTTATGTGTGTGTGTGTGTGTATGCATGTATGTATGTATGTATGCATGTATGTATGTATGTATGTATGTATGTATGTGTGCAAGTGTGTCTGTATGTTGGAACTGAGACTGAAATAAAAACTATTAAATATTGCCCTTCTACTCGATTCTCATAAGTTCAAGTAAGCTTCACTGGTTTTTATGCATGAGTTATAAGTGATGAGTGTGAAGTGATTAGTTATGGCAGTCAAATAGGATTTGTATATGTGTGTGTGTAAACGTATGTATGTTAGTCTGTGTGTCTGTATGTTTGTATGTATGTCTGAATGTTTGTATGTATGTGTGTATTGTGTGTATTGGCTGCAGCTTGTTGATTGTAGGGCTCGCAACAGCCAATGTGTGGGTACGGAAAAGCATACACTTTGGCATTTTATATGCGACGCGTCCAATAACCTGAGTTTCCGTTTGTTATTTTGGGCAGTCTATTTATTTTTAACATTCGCCAGCTGAGCTAAAGGGGGCATTAAACGTTGCTTGAGGTTGCAAGTGGGGGTCGCAAGCCGCCGGCATTGAGCGAGAGTTCGAATCGGGTTCCTCGACCTGCAAACACATCCCGAACATTAAACATTGGGCAATTGACCCATTTGCGTAGTGCCACAAACCAAAGTGGCAACTAATAATGCAATAGGTGACAAGAGGCATTTGCCACATGCCACTTGCCACTTGCCACTTGGTCACGAGTGGCATTCAGCAAGCTTCCGGGTTTGCTTTCGTTGTCAGTTGCCGTTTGTGGTGACCAGCCTCGAGGGCAACCTGATAAGTTGGCGTGTCAAATGAAGTTATTTCCTCCATGTCCTGCGTTTCCGTTGTCTCTATTTCTCGTTGCCCCTCCCCCTCCGCCCCTTTCCTTATCTCTTCTCTTTTCCCTCTTTATTTTATTCTTAGCCATCGCCTTCTAGCATTACTTGCAAACTGTTGTGTGCCCATAAAAAAGAAAATATGTACTTGGAATCCGCCCTTCCGTCCCTGCACCCAGGCATTGCTTGCATGCCTTGCTCAACTGCAGCACCGCCAAGTGTTAAATGCATGCCACAGTCTGCCCCAAATGGTTGCGTTTAATTACACAAGTTTTTGCGCCACTGCGCCTCATAATTTTACCACGCGCTTGACAGTCCTTTGGCCCTTTGGGTCTGGAGTCCTGTGCACTGGCTAGACTAGCTCCTTATGTGCGCACAAGCACATCCGATTATAAATAATAGCTAGTTGTAGTTGGACTATCGCTACTTAACCTAAGAACATGTCTGTATCATTTGGTTCCAACAAGTATTTAATACGGTTCTGTCTTTAGTTGCTGTCTTTATGAATAACTTCTCTGTCTTAATTTGAGCCGTATGAGGTATTGAACCTTTGCATTGAGCCAATTCTCGTTCCAAAAAGTAGGGAATTTGCAGTGAATTTCCTGCACATCTTCCAGTCGAACTCCGTCTAGCCAATCTTCGGTTCTGATGATAAATTTTTGAATTTTTACAGCTTAACATCTTACACGACCCTCCGACTTATCGGAATTTTTGCTGCCTTCCGTTAAAATTTTGAACCTTCTTCTAGGACGAATCGTAACTGAACCCCCTGCTCACATAGGAACCACATACAGGCCAATTCCAGCTAGTAAAGTAAACTTTTTCCATTAACTATGAACTTGATCCACCTCAGCTGAACTAACTGCTGGAAACTTGCTTACTTCTTGGCCAAGTTTTTACCACTTGCTCGCTGCTCAGCGAATCCTGCGAAACAGGGGTCATATGTAACCATTAGTCCTGGCAAAAGGAACGTTTCATTTTACGGCCGCAGCTTAGCGCAAATTTAATTGAATTTTCAAAAGTCTTTTGTTTTTTTTTTTTTTTGCACTGTCTGAGAAACTTTTTCGCTTTAGCGAGTATTGCAGTATGGGCAGGCGGTGGGGATTGCCCAAGGGATTGGAATGGCGGGCTAACCCGACAAAGCTTTTTCTAATACTATTTTCCGCTTTGTATGCCAACAGGTGCGTGCTATGGAGCAGCGGCTCAGTGAATGGCCAAAGCCACCAGCACAACAACAGCAACAGCTACAACAACAGCAACAGCTACAACAACAACAACACTCTCAGCAGGGCACAGCGTCTAGCTCGCCCGTACACCAACAACAGCAACAGGCAATCGCCGCCGCAGCTTTGGCCGCTGCCTGCCAGCAGAGCGTCTTGGCCAGCAGCACAGGCGGCCCAGCGAGCTTAGGCGTGGGAGTCTGTCTGCCCAGCAACGAGGCGGAGAAAACAATTAACTCATTGGAGATTCAAGTAGAGGAGCAACGGCAGCTTCGACTGCATGACGCACGCCAGATCGAGGCAAAGGCCGCCAAGATCAAGGAGTGGGTGAACAATAAGCTGCGAGATCTCGAGGAGCAGAATCAGTTGCTGCGTGAACAGAATATCAAGTGTAATCAGCAGCTGGAGTTGCTCAAGAATCACATTGCCAATCAATCGCAGCGACACAGCATTGTGGGACCTGTGCGGAATAGCCTGAGCTTGGATGTGCAGGACTTTGCCAGTACGCCGGAAACGCGACGACGCAGTGAAAGCCTTGATCCGCAGGAGATCATTAGCCGGCCATTGACCAGCTCCTATCCGCATCATCAGCATCGACGCAATCTATCCATGGAGCCGCAGGAGCTGGAGCGCAATCTGGTGGCAGCCGTTGATGGCCTTACCCTGGCTCCGCTCTCTAGTATCTCCAGCAAGGCAGCACAGTCGGCTGCGGTGGCGAGCACCCGGCCAGATAGCTCCGATACAGACACGGCGCACGACTATGCGGAAATCTATACGCCCTCATGCGAGAAGCTGCCCGCCTGGATGAAGAACAATCCGGCGCTAATGGCCAGCGGCGGAAATTCGAGCACAACAACGACCACAACCAGCGAACTGGGCGTGCCAAGGCCGCCGACGCCACCGCTGCATCGCTTTCCCAGCTGGGAGGCCAAGATCTATCAGGTGGCCAACGATGGACTTGCCGGCAACGGCACCGGCACCAGTACCGCAGAGAGCACCGCTAGTAATGAGCCAATCCCGGATGTGCAGCAGGAGCACAGCCTGACCCTACCGAATGGACGAACCAGGCATGGCCATGATGCAAATGGCACGCTGGGCAGCAGCGGCACACCGGGCACACCCCAGCCGCCGACGCGACAGCAACAAACCGCCAGCGGCGGCTTCTGTGATATATCCGTGCCCGTTTATGCCACGGTCAAGGGGCGTGCCTCTCAAATACGCTCGATGCCCTTCACGGGCGACTCCAGTGACGATTCCAGCGACGGCGAGGATCATGCCGTCATGCTTACACACAATTCGCACAACTCATCTAGCACAGACAACACGGAGACCTCCACATCTGGCAGCGCCTCGAGCCCCTCAAAGAGTCTCAAGACCTCCTCGAGCCTCAGCCCAGCCAAACGCAGCGGCTCCGAGAGCCCTAAAAATGCCAAGGCCCGCGGTATGTACGATCCCTCAAAATCCGCTCTCTCCCAGCACGCGCATCCGCCCAGTTAACCAGTAAACCAGTAAAGCGTAGTGGTAGCGGTAACTCAACATAATAAACCACAGCAATAACAGCACTAACAAAACTAACCCAACCTCCAGAGCAACCCACCCAGCTTGAACACTAACAATCATCAAACAACTATCCTATCTTAAAGTATCCTGGCTTGTTATTCCCGTACAGTTGCCCAAGCTTCAATCGGCTTTTGTTCTCTCTGTCCTGCATATAAACCCAGAGCAAACTCGTATTGCCGAGTTCATCCTTCAAAACTATTATTTTCCCAATGTATTATATTTGTTATTTCCTTCACGCTAAGAGTTCCATGATCATGTGTAGCGTTGACATATTTTAAGAATCTCCCAATTCAATTATTAACACACTTCGCTATAACCACTTGAGAATTGTAAGCAGCAGAAAAGTCCTAAGACTTTCTTAATTTTAAGAGTTCAGTGCCTATTGCCTTGACCTCGGCCCGAAGCTATTACCTCATGAGAGCTTGTTGTTGCTGGTCGTTATGGCCAACTTTAATTTACAATCTAGTTAACGTAACACAAAAGTATAATACATTTTGTCATTGTTCATTTATTTGTTTGATCTTTTATTCAAATCTTGTTTTTTCTGTCCGAGGAGCTAATGCTCAAAAGTCGAAAGTCTTAAAGCTAGATTAAATATTTATTTCCTTAATTTTCATGGAATTTCTTTTGTTTATTATAACATTCAATTCATATTTTATCAATATTGATATACCTAATTTTTTTCTGTGTTCGACTTATTCGTATACCCTTGACATTTCTCGAGCATTATAACAAAGTTGATGAGTGAATGTGCCTTCCTTTTTATATCCAATATCCGTTCGTTGAACAATTTATTATCTTATTGTATTTTCCTTAACGTACGTTCAAACAATCTTATATATCTTATATATATATCAATCCCCATACTACATATGTATACAATTCTTGTTTAATTTGTATTAAGCTAGTTCCTGACAGCCCTGTAGCTTGTTGGATTTTAGGTCTGAACCAATTCTAAAAGAATCCCAAACCCCAGTCTTTCAACACTCTATTACGACTAATTTTCAATGGATATTCTAACAACTATTTGAACTGGTTGCATCTCCTACCTGCGCCTCGCCCTCCACCTCAATATATGTGTGGTGCTCTCAATTATAACCACCAATGACCACTATTAACCTCCATCATTTCCCGCCATTAACCATGCACACACACACACGCTCACACACACGCACACGCACACCGCCACATAACAGTCCAAACGCGTATCTGCATACAACAACAACAACAACAACAACAACAGACACACCATTATCAGCATCATCACACGCTGCCACACCCACAGGCGCCGGTGCTGGCGCCCGTGAAGAGTGTACAGAGCACTCTGCCACGCCTACATACGCCCACTACCACTGGCGCGCAGCTGACGCAACTGCGCGTGAGCCCCCACATGCGTGGCACAGTAATTTCAGATATTTCCTTTGAATCAGGCCTCTCCGATGACTATGCCCTGCCCCCGGATGCCGTCTCGGAATCAACATGCATGGACGCCTCGATGCCATCGCTATTGATGCGCCAGTCCTACGTGGACTCGCCCAGCAAGAAGCTTGAATCTCTGGAGAAGGTGAGCAATACGAATTTGTTATCTGCGACTTTATTTAACCCCTACCTTCGCTCTCGACCCAACCAGATGGGTCACCTGGCCAAGCTGGGCGGCAAACTGAAGACCTGGCGCAAACGCTGGTTCGTCCTGAAGAACGGCACCCTCAACTATTGGAAGAGTCAGCACGATGTACAGCGTAAGCCGCAGGGCCAAATACAGCTGGACGAGGCCTGTCGCATAAGCCGGGCGGAAGGCGCCTCCACCTTTGAGATCGATACGGGCAAGAAGGTCTATTATCTGACCGCCGACTCGCATGCCACCATGGACGACTGGATACGCGTCCTGCAGAATGTGCAGCGACGCAATGCGACCAAGCTGCTGCTCAGCCGGGATGACCAGAAGCCGACAGTCCAGGGCTGGGTGACCAAGGTGAAGAACGGACATGCCAAGAAGTGCTGGTGCGTCCTACTGGGCAAGATGTTCCTCTACTTCAAGGCGCCCGCTGAGACGGTAAGTGCCATGCCAGCACAAGCCTTAGGCGCCAAATAATATCACGAATCCCGTTTATATCGTACAGAATCCGCTGGGTCAGATCAATATGCGCGATGCGCGCGTAGAAGAAGTTGAGCATGTTTCCGATTCCGACTCGGAGGAGCGCGAGGATGCGGCACAGGATCAGGCGCGTCTCACTGTCGCCATCTACCCGGCGCATCAGGGTCCCACGTATCTGATTCTATCCGGCAAGCCGGAGCGCGACAATTGGCTATATCATCTGACCGTCGTCTCGGGCGGCGGACCCAGTGCGGGTACACAGTACGAGCAGCTGGTCCAAAAGCTCATGGAAACCGATGGAGATCCGAGTAAGTGCAGCATAATAGCCACATGAATGTAGACACATCTTCACAAAGTCAACATCAATTCCGCTATAGACTGTGTGCTCTGGCGCCATCCCATACTGCTGCACACCAAAGATACGATCACAGCTCCACTCTCCTCCATGCACACGGAGACCATGCAACCGGAGGCCATAAAGCTATTCAAGGTAAGCTCACGGCCGGACTCCAAGAATCGGGTTCTTCAATATATAGTACATATGCATACGCATCTCCTTTGCCCTCCACAGAGCATTCAGCTGTTCATGTCGGTGGCCGTCAATCAGCCCGGCATCGATTATCATGTGGTGCTCGCCCAGAACGCCCTGCAGCATTGCCTGGACATGCCGGAGCTACAGACCGAAATGATCTGCATTTTGATCAAGCAAACCTCCCGACATATGGGCCAGAAACTAAGTGTCGGTGTCCAGGTAAACAAGAAACTGGGCAAGCAAACGCGCGTAAGTTTTTCAGTTGCAAAGCTTCTTAACCCTCAAAAAGCTCTTTTAGTTGTGATCCTCCCGTTGTTTCCCCCTTTCCCCGTTAGCTGTTAATAATCTCATTCTCGTTATGATTTCCATATGATTCCCCAGACTAATCCACTTACTTACTAACATAGTTGGGTACATGTCTTGCACGTGGCTCTACGAATCCCAATCACAAAAGTGGCAACATTAAAAGGCTCTGTGAAAGCTTTCGCTTCGTCAATTGGCGAAACTTTTTTCAAAAAACTTGAACGCCACTCCGATTTTAACTTATTTTTCACAAAAAGCTCGCATTAGCCCTAAAAGCTTCTCGTCTGATGCAGCTTTAAGACGTTACCTAACCCTCAAAATGTCCATGCAACTAGGTATCGTATGTCAAGTACTACCCAAGTTTTGTATTCTATTGCTTTATTTTGATTGCCTAACAAATTCATCGCTTCAGTACAACGATCCGCGACATTTGGCCAGCTTTTAAAAAGCTTTGCTTACATTTAAAAAGCTTACGAACGCTTTATAATCAATGATAAATATTATAATCATTAAGTTAAACATACATACATACCTATAAGACATGCCTACTATTATATCACACTCAAGAATTATTTTACTCATCTGTTTTTCTGCATGTTCTCGTTAATCTTAACAAATTGCTCGATTATTCTTTTTTTTTTTTTTTTGTGTGTGTGTGTGTGTGCGTATGTGTGTGTGTGTCCATTGTTTTTATTTGTATTTGTATTTTAAGTAGTGAACAGACAATAAATTTCCCCCATAACTGTCATACTTTATCTATTACTCAATTATTAGTATGTGTACACATATCCACATACATGAACTCTCAAGTACATATTTAGCTATCAAGACCAAAACAAGCAGCAACAAAAAATCTTAAATACGATAAAAATTATTTTCATGTGTATAGTTTTTATCTAGTTATTTTTGATTCGCTATCAGTATGTGTTAAGTATTTGCTGTAAATTTCATACATACTCTACAATCTACATACTCTACCAACCTACCAGGTACATACATACATACATACATGCATACATACATACATACATACATAAACATACATGAAAGGAAACAACTTAAATCACTTACACAACATCAACTCGAGTTGAAGGTATACTTTTATGCTCAGTGTATGCGTATACTACTCGAATACTCACTCTCTACCGCACTCACTCTCTGTCTTTTTCACTCACTCTATCTCGCTCTCTCTGTCTCTCTCTCTCTCTCTCACTCTCTTGTGCTACGTTTATGCGCAGCTCACTTAACGTGACAAGAACTTTGCCAATAAAGTACAGCTCATCCAATGTGTTATCGATTTATTATCGATTTGCAATAAATTGTTAATCACGTTTAGGGTGGCTACGCATAAATCATGCATTGTATTCATAATTGTCTCCCAGTTTATTGATACTTAGCGTTTTCTAACTCGTTTATGGTTTGTCCCTTTCTGTTGTTCAACTTGCGCCTAGTTTGCTGCTATCATTATTTTTATCAATGCCTTTGAATGTTTCGCATAAAGTTTATTCATTTCCTTTGCAAGTTGCGCTTTTTACAAAAAAAAAAAAAAAAAAAAAAAAAATAAGAGAACTACTTTTGTATAGCGTGTCATACATATACATTAAGGATACTCTGTAAAAAAGAACAAAATCACAAAAAAAAACACAACATATGGAGAAAACAAACAAACTCAACTCTGTGTTCAGCTAAACAGCAACAAATTGATCAGCAAATGTTTTTTGGCTTTTCTTCTATTCTTCTATTCTGTTTCTCTTTCGTTTTGAAACGTTTTTCGTTTCGTTTGTATGTGTATCGAACCAAATCCAATACCGATAACCGATAACCGATAACCGTATACCGTAAACCGTAAACCGTAAATACCAACCGTTTTCCAACACTGTACGTAAACCATTTGACGACAACGACGACAACGCTCACGAAATTTACAGCAACTACTATTGTGCGCCACCCAAAGCCTGTTCACCTGTGATACCCAACAGGCAGGCCAAGCTCAAGCCAACGGCAGTTCGCCCACATCAATACAGGTATGAGGGGAAATTTGTCTTGTCATTCGATAATCGATATACGATAAATCATATGCGATATACGATACACGATTTGTTTATTATCGTGTGTCCCAAGTAGTACGATTGCTTTCAGTTATTGTAGTCAATTGTAGAGTTGCCAAATCCTTAACTCAGAATGCTCTCATCTTCAACTGACTCTCTCTCTTGCTCTCTTTCTCTGTTGATTTTGCACAGGCGCCCGTTTCTACGCCCATTATCGACTGCAAGTCAAATCCGCCCGCGTACAGCTTTGTCCAGGGCTGGCAACTACTCGCTCTGGCCGTCTCATTGTTTGTGCCCAAATCCAGTCGCCTGCTCTGGTATCTCAAGCTGCATTTGTCCCGCAATGCGGACACCAAAACGGAGACGGGCAAATATGCCGCCTACTGTGAGCGAGCACTGGAGCGCACCCTGAAGAACGGGGGACGCGAGACGAAGCCTTCCCGCATGGAGGTCCTATCCATACTGCTGAAGAATCCATATCATCACTCCCTGCCGCATGCCATACCCGTACACATGATGAACACCACGTATCAGGTAAGCAGCAAACGTGAACGTGAACTGAACCAAATCAAGCTTAGTAGTTCTGATTGATTTTGTTTTCTCAATTACTTTAAGATAGGAATATCATGAGTTTACTTCTAGGCTTATTTTTTGGAACAGAAAATATTTTTGTGAACTATTTTCATTGATTAACTAAGTATGCAGTTTTTAAGCAGCCGCTTAGTTCTCTGAACTAGTTCATAATCTGAAAAGCTAGTTCATTAGCTTATAAATTTACTGCCCAAACTGTGAGGGTTTACATTTGTACACTTGTAATTATATTAGAGAAAATTTCGTTACGTTCAGTGAACTAGTTCAATTGTAATCTGAATATCAACTCTTTGCAGGTGGTTTCCTTCGATGGCTCCACCACCATTGAGGAGTTCCAAACAACACTGGCCCAGGAGCTGGGCACCCGCGATGCCAACAACGGTTTTTGCCTGTTTAGCGATGATCCCATTGAAAAGGATCTGGAACACTATCTGGAGCCACTGGCCAAGCTGTGCGACGTGATCAGCAAGTGGGAGACGGCGCTGCGCGAGAAGGGCTCCGGCAAGTTCGAGAACTCGCGCGTCATTCAGCTGAGCTACAAGAACAGACTCTACTGGAAGCACACCATCAAGTGTGAGACGGACAAGGAGCGCCTGCTGCTGTGCTACCAGACCAATGCCCAGATCGTGCAGGGCCGCTTTCCGCTGTCACGCGAGCTGGCCCTGGAGCTGGCCTCGCTGATGTCGCAGATCGACATGGGTGACTACACGCACGAGAAGTCACGCGATGCCGGGCTCAAGGCGCTGGACAAGTTCTATCCGTATCGGTATCGGGATGCCCTTGGCGCCGAGCAGCTAAAGGATGTGCAGGAACTGCTCATATCCAAATGGACGCTGCTCAAGGGACGCTCCACGCTTGACTGCGTGCGCATCTATCTGACCTGCTGCCGCAAATGGCCCTACTTTGGCGCCTGCCTATTCCAAGCCAAGCCGCGCCAATGTGAGCCGCACGCGGCCACGGGCACGCCCGTCGCCTGGCTGGCCGTTGCTGAGGATGCACTCAATGTGCTCGAGCTGTCCACGATGGCACCTGTCGCGCGTTATCCGTACAGCACCGTGATGACCTTCGGTGGCTGCCAGGATGACTTTATGCTAGTCGTCTCGCACGATGACGGCACCCTTGCGGGCGGCTGCGAGCAGAAACTGCTCTTTGCCATGAGCAAACCGAAGATATTGGAGATCACGCTGCTCATTGCGGATTACATGAATGCGCTGGGGCACACGGTGCCCGGCACGCCGCAGATGAATTCGCTTACCCGCAACGGCTCGCATCGTTCGCTTCGCACTTCCCAGCGACCCGGTGCTGGTCCTGGTGGTTGTCCTGCTGGTGCCGGTGTCGTTGGCCTCACTGCTGTCGGCGCTGCCGGCAGCATAACGGGCTTCTCTACGAATGCAACCACAACGGCCCACAACACGCTCAACTCGCATGCCACCCACACGCTCAACTCAACCCACTCGCACACGCTGAGTAGCTCGCATCACGCCGGCGGCGGTTCAGCTGGTGCCGCTGGTGGTGTAGGTGCCGGTAGTGGCAGCCATCAGGGCACGCTCAACTCGCAAACGGGTGGCCATCATCATCATCATCATCATCATCATCCGCATCCGCATCAGCCGGATATACTGAAGAGCACGCCCGACCATCAGCGAATCAAGTGAGCTGCAAGCAGGATCAGGCCGTGCACAGAAATGCACACGTCAACACACACGCATGCATATGTATATGAGAGGCATGCGTGTAGAGTAGCACTTAGAACGCATTGCGTAGTCTTAGCAACGCCGTCAACTATGCCGGGCTCTTGCACTTTACGCGCTACTCAACACTAAACAACAACGTTCTTTCCTAAGCTAAGCTATTAACGGTACTCGTACTCTAAAGCCCATACAAGCATACCTATATATGCGTATATTGTAAACAGATTTTTTTTTTTTGAATAGCTATAAGCCGTACCCCGCGATAGGTACATACCACATATATTCTATATATATATCTATATATATACCATTTATATATATATATATATTATTCAATGTGTGTGTGTATATTTCTGCTCCTTCTATGGATTCTATTTTGTGATTTTATTTTGTACAGCAATTTGTACAAATCACTTTTTCGTCACTTTCTTCTTCTGCTTGTTTTTTTTTTTCCTTCTCAATCTTCTGCTCTTACCTATGTATACTCGTACTGTTACTATGTTCGATATTCTTGCTAATCAGTGCTTCGTCGTGAATCTCACCTTGTCCCTCCATGCTCAATAACTGCCTTTGAATGTAGAAGACGAAGAAGACAACAACAAACCAAGATAACGAAACAAGCCAAAAATAACAAAAAACAACAACAAAATGAACAAACATTAGCTAAAGCAGAAATTGCAATAAGCATTAGGTTTACCCATGAGCACCAGGGTGGAAGATTTAACAATTTTATGACCATATTTTGTATAGAAGTTTTCATGCCCAGACATAGGATACTGTTTTTTTTTTTTGTATTTTTTTTTTTATTCATAAGCGAAAGGAAATTGGGGAATTAGAAAACCTATAAAGCATAGCACTAGATAACATACGTACAGATATATAGACTAGGCATTATGATTTCTGCTCATGTCAGTCGTGTTAGTTTTGCGTAGAGAGCACATTATATATTAATGTTGTCTAGTTATGATGTGAAAGGAAGTGTTCATATTATAAACCATTTAGTACACAGTTTTTTTTTAATTTTTTTTAAAATATTTTATTAAATATTGTTTTGTTTTTGTGTCCCGTCACTTTACAGCAAAATATGTTTTTTTTATACATATATTTAAATTCTTCTAAAAATGTTAACAAAATATATTTGTAAAAGTAATTAATAGCCAACCGAACACAGCCAGAGCTTCTAGAAAAAATAACAAATTTAAGCAACTATAACAATTGCAATTGATATACAATATAGAAATGTTCTTTTGTAATTTATACAAAAAAAGCATCCAGAGAAACAAGATACAACAATTGAGAAAAAAAGTGAAATAATTGTATACATATATATAAATTTATATAGAAAAACAAATTCCCAAGTAGGTTATACACTCAAAGAAAAAACTGCATTAAGCTTAAAGCAGCTACAACAAAAAATGAATAAAACACATGCAACGCTTTTAATATATTTAAATTTGAAAGAACGTAAAGTAAAAAACTGCTCCCTGTCGATTGGCCATTTTTACTAAGTATTTTTCAAAGCGCTTTGGAATATCATTTTGAATTTTGTTAAATCAACTTTTAATAAAGTATAGTATACACATATAGACATATACATATACGGTACACACATATATTTAACAAAAACAAAATTATATACAAGCATTGCATAACTGTGTAAATGGTAACAGCGCATTTTTTTCCTATTTGTAAAAATTTGATATTAAAAATTTATATGCAAAATCGCGAACCGAAAGGCGGCATTAAACTATACATATATATATATACACCATATACCATATATATATATATACCATATGTATATATATATACCATATATATATATACCATATATATATATACCATATATATATATATACCGTATATATATATATACACATTTGTCAGCGCAAATATGGCAAGAAATAGGCGAATATATATCATCACTCAAATGAAAGGAAATATATAAAGGGAAAATTAATCACTAAAACAAAACAATATTGCAAGTTCGAGTTTTTATTGTTGGCCTTTGAACGGGGAATTGGAATACCAAGTGCCAGTTGAAGAGCCAAGTTTCTGTTGGCTGAAATAATTATTTACCAAGAAGTGTCAAGTACTCAGTACTTTATGAACTCATTTAGATTGCTTTAATTGCTTAATAATTTGTATAAATTGCCTAATATTGTATTTTATTGATGTAACATACCATCCATCATTAGTCATAATCATGATTAGCATCATATACAAACTATTTTATACACACATTTGCTTGGATTTCTACAATTTACAAAATTTCATTGCCTGGCAGGTTCCATAAACGGAAACAAAAAAAAAAAGATAAAAGATACATATAAAATTAATGCGGCAATTATATTTTTGCATGCAATATAATTCCGCTCGCAAGCCAATTGAATGCGATATGAAAAAGGGTCATAAACAGAAGTCAATGCGACTACTGTTGAGGATTATCGCTGTTTTATGGAATTGTTTCGTTAGTCTTTGCCCCTCTTTGGGCGTATGTGTATGTGTGTGTGTGTTTGTGTATGTTTGGAAATTAAATTTAAACCCACAACGCAAGGTAATTTAAAGCATATCAAAATAGCCTGCCTCCAATTTAGTGTCTATTGTTAACTAGGCTGTTGTTGTTGTTGTTGTTGCTGCTGCTGCTGTTATACAATTACTATATCAAATATTTAAATGTCTTTTGGCCTTTGTAATGAGCGGCAGGCACTTGCACTTGCTGCCGCTCCGATCTGCTGCTGCTGCGCTGCCAAACGACAACGTCTATGACGCTGTGGCGGCAACGATGACAGCACGGCGACAACGACAACGACAACAAACATCAATTGCGTTGCGCCGCGCCGCGCGGCGCTACAACGCCAATTACAATTAACAACTAAACAACTAAGCAACTAATGCGTCTAACGTACGTACATACATATATTACAAAACCCAAAAATATAGTATAAACACTAGAAATATAGTGCCCACGGCGGCCGCTTTCACGTACATCGATTTGCGATTCAGCAATTTGGCATCCTTTTTATACTTCTGCGACATCATCGACAGGTTTTGCGTTTTTGTATCCAGCTCTGGAATGAGAATGAATGCGTTTATTAATTTTGCGTTAGGTTTAAACAAATTCGTTTTGGACGCACCCGCCAAGACAGTGCCACGTTGCAGGACATCATCAATGTTCTGGACCATGATGCGCTGCACATCCTGCAGCTGTGTGTTGATGTTGCTGATGTTGCGCCTGCGATCAGTCAATTGCCTTTTCGCCTTCTGTATGTACACATCGAATTCGATGAAGGCGTAGGGGCGTGTCACCGAATTGACACGTCTGCCATAGCTTGTGTGAAACTCCTGCGCCAGATCCTCCAGATAGTTGAATGCCAAGCGCTTTGAATACATTTTATCAACCATCACCAAGTAGCAGACATCGTTCTCGATAAGATAGCTGTACGGGTGCGAAGTCGAAATCGAAGTCAATTTAAAAATAATTCATGTTATTTGGTTAATTGAATTGTCATTCAGTGTTGATCAACGTTTAATTACTACTCACTGGAATAAATATGGTCCGGTTTCGATGCTGCTGCGCGCCGGCGAGTGTGTGCCCAGCTTGCGAAATAGCATTTTCGCCTGATTTTGGTAGTCCAAGATGCTGCGACCGCTCTAATGCACAAAAAGTGAAAGTGTTTTCGTATTAAAGCTATTTAGGTGTATGTGAGTGTGCGTTTTGTGTGCTAATCGACGCACCTGCTCGTCGTCCTGCATGGTGCCCACCAGCGGCAGGCCATCAATAACGCGGGCAATCATCGTCAGCAGCGCCATGTCTATGCCTGTGTCCTCTCCTCTTTGACCTGGCCAACCTCAACGTAAGCCACAAATGGTTATGTGTATGCGTGTGCGTGTGTGTGATTAATGCGTGTATTGCAGTCGACTGTGGCCACGGCTACAGTTTAATGCGGCTGGCTTTCCACTTGGTTTGTTGTTGCCGTGGCCGCTTCACTCCAGTGCTAACCGCTGTGTCCGTTGATTTAGCTATTGTTGTTGTTGTTGTTGTTGTTGCTCAGCAGTTGCCAACTTTCATTCGGAGCCTGAAATGTTGGCAATTGATAATTATTGAATTGTTTAACCCTGCACACTGTCTATACGTTTGGACTTTACCCAAATGAATATTATGTTATTTTGTGGGCGAAATCACGGATTCACACATTGCCAGTTAAATATGCTAAATTATGTTGTGTGTGGATAAACTGATTCGTGTTTTTGTATTGCTGGAAACACGTCAGCGGCTAGCGCTGGGCCTGTCAAACGCCTCAACAATCATCGGGAAAACTAAATCGAATTTGTGCGATAACTTATCGATAGTTGGATGCGCGCGACAATGGTGTAACTATCGTTTGTTTCAAATTGTCACGAAATAAGCATGTTTTAAACATGTTCCAATGAATAAATAAACAAACCTTGTAACCTAGTGCAAATTATTGAATCATGCACGCATAGTGAAGCGAAAAACGATTTGATCGTGTAAAAGCCAATATATAATTTGATGACAATTCTGACACGTTACCAATCAAAAATAACATTTCCCAAACAACTTGTTCACCTCAAAATAAATGTTAATAAATTTTGAATGAATCTAGATAACATCCTGGCCCAACAGGCATGCTGGCCTTTAAATATTTGAAGTCTTGGCACAGTTATGGAAACATGGCAGCATGTGCGTTCAACTTCTCGCTCTAGCATAGAGCACATTGCGCTGACATGGGGATAGGTTGTCTCTTTCGCACCATATGGACAAATTGTGTGCGTGACAAAATAAAAACACTTCATTTGGGGCGGTTAACTTTATTAAATATGTTTATAATTGAATGCATTATTGTTGTATGTTGTATGTTGTAGCTGTTGTGGTCTGCTTTTATTTAAAAATCAGGCGGAATGCAGGCCGTGGCTCGACTACCTCTAAAATATGTTGAATTTCTTGTGCTGGCTGCTGCTGCTGCTGCTGCTCTTGCTGATCCTATTGTTTCCTTTATTAATGATCAACTAGGCAGCCTGCACCGATTGCTTCTGCGACGAGCTTATCTTATCGCCCAGGCTAAGTGCCATGCCCTGCGGATGAACATGAACAGTGAGTCAAAATAACAATGGAACGTGAACGTAAGCAAAAACACGCACCTGGCTCTTAGCGCGTATACGTATGTGGCCAGTTACTTTCGAGTCGGGATCATCGACGGGCTTTTCAATGCTCAAATTGGCTAAGGCGTTCTCTCCGAAAATGGATCTGGAATCGGGAATTGTTATGCTAAAGGCTGGAAAGGAGAGCAGGCGTTCTTTACATACTTGGCATACATGTTGGCGGCCATGAAGCCACATTGGCCAGATAGCGCCTTTTCGGGCGTCAGGCACTTCATGTTGGTGCTCTTCAGCAGGTGCTTGAGATACTCGTGCAGATCTGTGAAGCTGGTGTTAACGGTCACCTTGTTCTCCCACTCAAAGTCCTGCCACATCTGGCGGAACTCGGTGTCTGTGCAGCTGGCCGGAATGATGTAATCCATGATGTCAATGTGTATGGTATTGAGTACCACGACGTTTGTATTCAGCGCCGTGTCGTAAACTGCGCGACAGAGGGAGGGATGCAATGGTTAAAAATAAGACAACTACCCGTAAAGCTCTTACTGGTCACTCACCTATATTGCCAAAGATGATGCCATTCTCTGTGGAGGAGACCTTTACGTTGGCCTTTATATTGCAGAAATCGTGCGGCGCGAGCACCACTGGATGCGGACGCTCTACCAGTTTCAGATCGCCCAATGTGGCCAGCTCCAATGTGCAGTTCTGCAGTGTATCATCTGAGGGAATGGGATATTGATATTGGGATCAAGACTAGATGAGATTTGAGTTACGCGAACTACACTCACTTGTCTGGTTGACGATCAGCACGTCCAGCACAATGTCGTACTGGTTGACATTAACGTAGGCCTCGGCGTAGACCGGATCGGAGAAGCCCGTTAGCTGGGTGA